ACTGTGTCTCTCCCCCTGGATATCCTCAGACTCTGGCCTGTCAGGACATCATCCAGCGTCTCAAGTTGACCTGGAGGGCGATAACATACCCCCACTGTCAGGTCCCTTTCCCTGTCAAAACCCCTAAGTTTCACTCAGACTGCCTCTGCCAAATCCCCATCTGTGTTGCATTCTATTTCACTGCATCCTATCCCTTCCCTGATGTATAAAACCACGCCCCCACCCCTCTTTCCCTTCCTGTCCTTTCTAAAAAGATGATACCCCTCTATGTTCACATTCCAGTCTTGCCTTTCATCCCACCAAGTTTCTGTGATTCCCACCAGGTCATACCCTCCTATTCCCAGGAGAGCTTCAAGCTCTTCCTGCTTATTACCCATGCTCCTAGCATTGGTGTACATGCACCTCAACTCCTTCCCACCACTTCCTTTCCTTGGAGTTCCCAGCCTCCTCCTTCCTCCCATCCTTTCTGATACCTGGCCCCTCTCTGTAGGAGTCTTGTCAATCCCTGCGGTAAAGTTCCATTGAAAATAATGCGATTCTGAAAAAGCCTTCCTAGATTAGCTTTTTCTGCACTGCTCATCATTTCTGTCCATTCTAAACACATTCCAAGCGTCAAAATCTTACCAGTACACCTTGTATTTCGAACCCTAACCCTATCCTAATGCACAGCCCTACCTCTAATATAGGTCAATAGTTCCATTGAAAAGAGGGCAATTTTGAGAAAGCCTTCATAGAGTAGCTTTTTCTGCACAGTCCAACATTTCTGCTCTTTGTAAACACATTCCAACCATCAAAATCATGCCCTGACACCACATTTTTCAAACTGTAAATGAACCCTGGTGCACACCCTGAACCCTAATATTGGGCAAAAGTTTCATTGAAAAGAGGGCGATTTTGAAAATGCCTTCCTAGAGTAGCTTTTTCTGCACAGCTCATAATTTCTGCCCATTCTAAACACATTCCAACCATCAACATCATGCCAGGACACCTTATTTTTCTAACCCTAACTCAGTGATGGTGAATCTTTTAGTGACTGAATGCCAAAACTGCAAACCAAAACTCACTTATTTATCGCAAAGTGGCAATACTGCAAGAAAACCTGAAAACTGAGTTTTTAGTTTAGAAAAAAACAACTCATACACACACGCACTTGGCAGCACACTGACCAGCCATGTGAAACCTCACATGAGTCGCGGCTAATGAGTTGCGGTTCAGAACACCATTGCCTGGCACCGCTACTCCTTTCCAAGCATGCGCATGGCCCCTGTGTACACTGGTATCCGATGCTTGGCTGCTGGGGCAATGCTGGGGCAACTAGGCTCACGTGCCGACAGAGAGGGCTCTGCGTGCCCACTGTGGCACACGTGCCATAGGCTCGCAACCACTGAAGTAGACCGTCTTACCTACCTATAGATCAATTGCTTTTGAATGGACTTTGAGCAGTTGACTTTCTGCACTTATTTTCATAGCAGTCAAACAGAATAGTTGTTTTGTGGCACCTTAAAGACTAACTCACTTAATATGACTTGAGTTGTCATGGACAGTGCCCATGAAAGCTCATGCCATAACAGCTTTTGGGTCTGTATCCACTCTTAATTACTTCAAGTCCCATTCATTTCCATATTTATTATTTATTTATTAAAACATTTTTATGCCGCCCCATTCGCCGAAGCCTCGGGGCGGCTTACAACAATAAATAAAAGTAATTATAATATATATCCATAGGTCTTCTCTAAGTAGGATTAACATATCTATAGTGCAACAGAACTTTTACTGATTTTACTGCAACAGACAAATTTCTCCGGAAACAGTTGCTTGGTCTCGATCCCAACAAAAACAATACAATCTCATCATTACTCAGTGTTAGACATTACCCATCTTTCCAATATAACAGCATGAATCTGGCATAAATTATTTTATTGCATCCCCCAACCTCTTCTCTAGTTAGCAGGGTCCATGTTCTCATTAGCTGCTGATACCCTGAACCATTTAAAATTTTAAAGTCTAATCTTTGAATGATATTATTCTTTTTTGTACTTTATATTGTATTTTATGTGTTGCAAACTGTCCAGAAAGCTTCAGTTATTGGGTGGTATAGAAATGAATAAGTAAACCAACCAATCAACCAACCAACCATGTGCTTATACTAAACCTTAAGTCCTCTTGAAATCTGACATTTCCCCCCATCTAGTAAAGCAACAGGACAACACCTTAAGGACCCTCAAAAATAGTATCTTTGAGCAACACTGTCAGTTTCTTGCATTAGAAACCTGTACACACTTACTTGCTCTGCATTAGTATTCAGTTTTCCATTCTCTCTGCATGTTTTTCCTTCTTTGGAACAGATAAACAAAAGCAATTACTAGCTCTTGAGCAAGCATGCATCCATTAGTTCTGAGCTAATCAAGAAGCTAATTTCTACCTGTGTTTTGCACAAACAACAGAGCCAATGAAGAAATGCCACAACAATTCCCAGCACCCTTATCATGTTGTGCATGTTGCATACACAGTCTATTTGCTTCCCAATCAACACTATCGAAAGGTGCTGTAACCACTGCACAAACTGCACAATGTCGTCCCTGTTTAAGTTGACAACTTCCTTGGTGGGCTACATATCACCGCAGGCTGGTTGCAGGCCTGACGCTTCCCACCCCTCAACCATGGTTGCCGTTACAGATTCTAGTGGTGCTAGTGGCAGAATGGCAATGGGTGTCTCAGAAGGCTGACATTAGATCACAACTGCTACTGGAACATACTGTAAAACAGTCTTCCCCAGATGTGTCGCACTACAACGCCCAGCATTCTCAACCAGGCATTCTGGGTGGGTGGCTGAGAGTTGCATCTAGTTGGCTCCGGCTTGGGGAAGGCTACTCTGGAACCACAATTCAAATAGCACCCTTAGGATTTTATAAGCGATTCTACAGGCCTGCTCCCCTCTTCCTCCTATGCACTTTGCTTCTCCATGCTCCAAGCTGCAGCAGACGCTCCTGGCATGACAAAGACCCAAGGTCGATCATGAGGATTTCCAGATTGTAGCTCAACAGCATAGTCCATAAAGAATTTATGTCGTATTGTATCAGTTTTAAACTGAGACAGTGTAATGACCAAATGACGGTTTGGTGCTACCTTATCAAGCCCAGTACTTGCTAACCCCTCTGCTATGTCCCCTCATGTCCCAATTCCATCCTTCACTTATGATTTGGTGCAGTTTGCTCCCTTTGGATGCAACGTGCAATGATAGACTGTGGCGTAATAATGGTCCAGAAGAGATAAGTGAGCTTGCACGTGGGTGGAACGGAGGGCAAGGCAGGTGCACATAAGTGTACATAAGCTTTACACAGCCTCAGACCAGTTTTGCGTCGCATCTAAACAATCTGCTATCTACATTAGGGATAATGCCCCCTTCAAAAGGCAACTTTCCACTGTTCGTACACTGGTATGTGAAAGAGCAGTTTAGCAGACTTGCAAGTAAAGTTTGTGGCTAATTTCCTATATCCAGATAAAAGGCACCTTTCTCAGTGGGTGAAAGTAGCTCTGCTTTTTGATTAATTTGTCCAGCAAAAGTCTCTTTGCCACTAGCAATGTTTTATTGGCCTTAGACTTGGCATATTTGCAACTTATATTTAGAATTTACTAATGTTTTCTTCAGTATATCATTTATGATCTGACACTTCCATTAAGTTTTCTTTGGAAGATGGCTCTTTGAATTTACCATTTCTATATATTGAATCACAGTTAAAAAGGAATCAAAGTTAACAGCCTTTTTCATCTCCTGCCCTTTGTACTTTTGGATTGGATCAATTATCAATCTATGCATGCAGCTATTACTCTTGACCCTCCTGTCATTGAAGTGATTTCTTTTGGGCTTCTGTAGTTTGTATTGCTTTCTAAGATATTATTTTGAATGTACAAACAAGACATTTAGGTGCAACATCAGTTCCACTCCAGAAAGTGACAATCTGTCTGCAATTCCTAAATTAAGCTGATCATGTATAATCAAGGATGAGGCTATTTTTGCCTAGATTGTCGATGTTTCAGAGGATCTGAGATGCTGGGTAATTACTGTTGAAGGTATTTAAATGGTTGCAGTATTTAAAATCCAATATACAGATAGTCCATGGCATAAAGATTAGGAGAAAATGTGAAAAACCAGGTCATTCTCTCTATGCCTTTCTCATGGGAAGACTGACACGTAATGGCAATTGGCATATGAAGGATGTCATCCTGAGCAGTCCTTGGACTGGGAGAGGGAGCACAGGCAGTGGGTGCAAGGAACATATGCTCCTTTGCAGAACGCTGTCTGCATTTGCTCGTGTCTACATACAAATAGGCATTCCAAACGCAGTGTCAGGATAACGCCATGGAATTGTTGTCAGCCAGCAAACGACAGTGTAAACCAGCAGAGGAAAATGTATGCTTCTCTGGATGCTGGAATACAACTTTCATCAGCCCTAGCCAGTTTAGCCCAAGGTGAGAGACAACAGGAATTGCTGTCCAACAGTATCTGGAGGTTTACAAATTTCCCAGTGGTGTAAGGCTAGAGTAGGGAAATCTGTGGTGCTCCATACTGGTTGGGGCTGGTGGGAGTGACAATCCAGAAGGCCTAACAGGCCACCAGTTCTCCACCCCACTATAAGAACGTGTGTGCTTTGGAAACTTGTTGAGAAAGAGTCCATCAGAAAGAGGGATTTCTGCCTTATTACAATCTTATTGTGGAAGGACCCTATTAATTATACTGTGATCCAAAAGATGGTGTGAGGGCTGAGCATTCACAGCAGGGCTTTTGATCATCCCAGAACTGAAACTAGTTGCCTGATAAACACAGCAGTGCAGAAATATAATGCACTTTTGACAAAACTTAAGGAGCTGCAATCAGAAAAGAAACCATGGGATCTGAGGTTCTTTTAACAAGGAGGCTCTTTGCACATCAGCGAATCTGCAGTAACACACTTCAATTTAACCACCGTGCCCTCGAAAAGGCAAGACGCAGAGGCATTTACCTCTTCCATATCGGTTTCCAGTGTTTTCACTTCTTGGCCTTTCGTCTCAAGCTGTTCAGTTAACAGGGAGAGTCGCCTGATTAGTTCCACAATAGAGTTCTCACTGCCATCTCTGCTGATGTTCCCAAAATAGGACATCAGCTTCTTCATGGTTGGGTCATCACATCTGTTGGCAGAAAGACTTCTATGACTCCGCTGTGAGACCCTGTAGTCTGATGATGTTAAGAGATCACAGTCTTCATAGCACAATGCAACATGTGGACTGGGTACTCCAAGAAACAAAACACATTTCTAAACACTATCAGGTAAAATATACAAGATACATGATTGGTCTGCATAAGAAAGGAATAAAATATGTCCTTTACTACTTTATAACTTGTGGATTCTTGCTGACTTGGCATCATGTGAAATAAGTACTTATTTCATATAGCTAAAGGCGTGGCATTGAGAACTAATGATGAATTATATGTTTCTAAAAGGAGTTCCTCCCCTAGGATAAGGCCACCAATTCTTAAATTTTGTTTGCAACTCCAGAAAGTTATGCATACAAATGACAGAGCATCATGCATGCAGCTTGAGCTATTAGTTTCTACAGCAGTCATTCATTCGTACGGCTAACAAGCAAGCCCCTTTCAAAGTTTAGCGTCAGCTTGCTCTTTGTGAATGACAGCCAAAGAAACTGTAAAGATTCCCAGGCTTGGATGCAAGTTTTCTCCTAATATGCTGTTATGCTCTCTAAGATTATAGTGTTTGCCATTTCTCACTGGCACTGAATCAGAATGGTTGCACTTACCATCCAAATCCTATATGTGCCGGAGAAGACAGAATGGAAATTTTGCATCCCTTGCACCTCCCTGAATCAGGTCAATTTAATTAACATATGTTCTACGACCACAGGGGGTAAGTATTGGTGTATTAATGCCATTTAGATTCCACATGACCGAATCACATTTTCTTATTCAAAAGTTGCTGTTCCTGTACATTTTCCCTAAATCACAGAAATATGTCTGACAAATATGTATATATCTCTTACTGAGACATACCCATTATTGCAACAAGGAAGTTTGGCAAGGAACTTCTTCACTTCAGCCACCTGGAATTGCTGGTCTCCTGTCCATTTCTCTTCTTCTTCATCCGATGCAGCCTGGCCTTCCACAGAACGAAACATCTGATCTTCCACTGGAAACAGAAAAACTCTTTAGGTATTAGTTTAAAGCAATGATATCCCACCTTTTATGGGAAACCTAACATGACTTAGCAGGATCCACTGTAACACCTTCTGCAAGCAGCATTTGTTTTAAATAAGATTTGTTTTAGGAAAGATCAAGTGTCAATAGAATAATTTTAGGAGTAATTTGTTAAAATTCTACATTATACATTACAAGAGTAGTGCTGCTTTCCCAAAAGGTTGCTTTTTGCCACTTTAAAAATCACTTCAATTTCCAATTCTAGTCTCTGTGCTCCACCCACGGGATGCCAGGTCCTGGAGTGAAGAGAAGAGAAAGGGTGGCAAAGGAAGGTGGGGCAAATGGAAGGCGTGTATATGTATAGGCTGCAGTGATATGTATGTACACTGGGAGTGCCTTCAGGCAGATGGCGCCTAGCATCCCACTTAAAAGGCTTTCTGAAGATTTTCCATCTTTTGATCCTTACCTGACTTTCTGTGGAAAGGAACAAAAGGAAAAACTTGTGGGAAAATGCAGGAAGGTTACAAGTGGAAGCCAAGGACATCTAGACTGAGTCTGAAATAACTGAGAGGTGAGCTCCCTCATCTCCTATGGCAGGATCCTGATCAGAGGGCCTACACTTACTCTAAAGCAAACCTTTAAAAAAACATAGTGAGAACTGCAGCTTGGCTGGAGGCAGGTGACAGCAATACCTGGAGACCAGGTAGGCTTCATGGAAAAGGTGGATTTGGGGAAGTCACATCAAAAGACGTGAAATGGGATATAAACAAAAAAGTGATATGATCAGAGCACCAGAGGCAAATGCTCTGCCAGCAGATTACTGAGAGAGGCAACAGGTCTACAATGAGATGCACAAAGCGGTATATGCAGGTGATAATCAGGACGCTGCTAACCAAAAGGCACGGATAGCAGTGTTTTGAGGCTTATATGCAGAAAGGAGCAACAACTTGCAGTATTAGGTAAAGTTGCTCTTTCCCATTCTAGCTTTGTGGGTAGAGTCACAAATGGGAGAAAACTAGGCAGAGAGCTTTAGATAATTGTCTGCTTTCTAGACATGGATTTTCTCACAGACTGGGCTTGGAAGAGTGCTGCTGGCCATTACTCACACATTCATTGCAAGTAGCTGTTTTGCAACTTGAGGTGCCAGATTTTTCCGTTAATCACCGTATGTGTCACTAGGGAAATAAAACACAGCCTTCTGCTTAGAGATGAAACTCTGCCACATATGCTAAAAGGATAATTTCCATCAGCCATCTCCTCTATCACCGGTATTTAGTATTTTGTTGAGCAAAATGAAGCTTCTGGTATAACTTGTCTGTTTAGCCTTTTCTGTTTCTTATGCTTTGTTTGTAATCAGACAGATACACAAAATATGTGTTTATGTTGAGGGTATATTTCTACAGGTCAAGTTCAGAAACTGGGTCACTCCATCTGTTGCCTTTTCACCCAGAAGGTGGTGGTGGTGAACGTGTAAAATAGAGTTTGTTAGTGGTTCTGTTCTTTAAAAGGTTATTCTACTTTCAGAAATGCCAAGCAGACACAGACTTCCATGGCTCTTCTGTGCACGCCCTCTGGATGTTGGGCAAATGGCTATGGGACAAAAGGACTTCTTGTGGTGGTGCCCAAATGGCAGGACTTCCTGCTTTTCGGCTCCCTTAAATTTGTATGCCTCTTTTCTATATTAATGTACCCCAAGTGGCTCACAGCACAAGAACAACAACACAACAGCAATAATACAAATCAAGATATTATTGCAATAAACAGTTTAATACAAATTCATTTCAAATATAAATATAAACCAAAACAAAATGTTCGTTTCAAATAATACCAGCATCATAATAAGATAGGTGACAGCAATTATTAAACTGCAGTATCAGTTGATATTATTTATCAATCATGCATAAACCAGAATCAAATATGCTAAACATTCAGGTGCAATCAGGTATTAATAAATAATGCTCTAGCAAACAGTTCCTCAAAAGTGCCAAGCGCAGGAAACAGAGAACAGATGGGATCTTACAGCCTCCAGCAGGCAACGTCTCACAAGCCCCACCTGATTCCAGTGCAGTTCTTAAAGTCTCCAGCTCAAGAGAGACCGAGGCATCTGTGCCGATGGTCAGTCTCTTTTCAGGCCCTGGATATCTGCACATACTTGCCTTCCAGCTTATTGTTACCTTTGACTTGACAAGGGAATTCCTTTCTATTGCTTCCTTCCTTAATAGCTTTTAACGATATCACTTCAACAACTCTAATTGGCTGTTTTTATCTGGGTTACACTTTCCTACTACCTTGTTTGCTATTCTTACTTTTTTGTTTTTATGGCTGTTGTAATTTGTGTTGTACTTCAGCAATTTATGGGGTCAGCATGAGGCCTTCTGGGGAAAGACAGGGTATTAAAAAATTAGTATGTGGTAGGCCAGGAATGGGGAACGTGCACCTAAAGTTCCCAGTATTCTTGACCTTGAGCCATGCTGGCTGGAGCTGATGGGCCCATCATCATCTGACAAGCAACAGGTTCCACAGCTTTGCTGCGAGAAACGAGAAACGTTTAGCTATTGCTACAATCCTCTAATACTTTCCTGGAATTAAGCCCCATTGAACACAATAGTCCTTCTTCTGGATAGCTATATAAAGGATTACACTGCATTATTTTAAGTCTGGGGGTGCACTCATCTTTATCTGTCAGCCTTCTGCTAGGTATTCTGAGATTGGGGAGATAACACAAGGTTTTGCCCACAAAGGCCTCCAAGTAGGGTTTTCAAGATCTTTCACACATGCTTTGGCTCAAAGGGTGTGAAGCATGTCGAGCAGTCTTCAGTCTACCCAGCAGGGGGCACTGTTGTAAAACAGAAAATAAGGAAAGAGCCCAACAGATCTGATTACAAGCTTAGCAAGATACTAACTTACATTGGCAGGAGCATTTTCCTCCTCTTCTCCAATAACAAAAGGGAAAAAAACACTTCTCTCAGATTATACATGACTCAGTATTACTATTTCTGGCTTTTAGTTCTGCCATTCACCAAAGAGTTGTTTACTTATTTCTCTTTACGTGCAACGGTCTTGAAGCACAGTTGCCACACAGCATTTATCTTAAACACATATATATCACACCTTAAATTTAACCTTCCAGCTGCAAACATCTCCTTCAATATGAATAATCACTGTCATTGCTAAGTAATTCTTAAACTAGCAGTGTTTCTGTTTGCAGGAATTACAACTGCTGAATGGAGTAAGTCCAGGATGTAGTGGACGAATTCACACAGCAGGACTGGGTCCTCCCTTTTGCTCCTTCCAAGCAGGTATCCCAGGGGATGCTGGGAGGAGGAACAAGCCTTCTCTCTCCAATAACCATGATCTTGCGCTGATTTCAGCTTCCCGTGGCTCTCAGAGTGGCTCCCCTTAGTGCAAACGGGCTTTGCATCCTGAAGGGCCACGTGCTCCATTTCCTGCCTTACCGACACAATATACAGAGACTACCTTCTGCCCCCTCACAGCTGGCAGCCCCCTCCATGTTGCCCCAGACAAGCTGGAGGTTGGCTGTATTGACTTCCCAGCAAGAGCTCTGTCTGCATTACAGGGACAAGAAAGGGCTTTAAAAATATGCTTTGCTCATGTAGTGCAAGCACAGCTCAGACCCAGAAGCACTACCGGGAGGATGGAGGAATGGATGCTCCTGCATCCTGCTGCCTCTAGAGCAGGAGGCAGAGAAGCCCAGGAGAGGTGCCCTTGCATACAGAGCAGCAATGCCAAGCAGAGTGGCAGCTCCCGGGCAGGAGCTGGGAGGAGGCAGGGTGCCCAACCTGCTTCATGGCACAGCCTCAAGCCTGGGACAGCCCTGCCATGCAGATGGATGGCTCTTGCCCCCTGCCTCAGGGGTCTAGCCCCAGGCAGGAGGAAGGAGGAGGAGGCAGGAGGGGCTAATGCATCTGGTCATGCTGCCTCAAAGGATGGGGCATCACTGTGAGGCAATTCCCCATTCGTGGCTGAAGTAGTCAGTTCTTCGGCTGCCAAGAAGGATGGCCAGGATCCACAGCTACTTGCCAAGGGCAGGAGTAAGGAGAAAGGAGTCCAGGCCATTCCTGGTGGCGCCTTCTATATTTCTCAGGCAGCTGGCAAGGAGGGCTGTTTTTGGGCTGTGGCAGGCAGGGCAAGCTCCTGACAATAGCCCCCCATGCCACTTGGGCACTTTGGAAAAGGCTGTTGGTGGGGTTCACTCAGCAGCCATCTGCCAAGAGCGGCAAGGGATCTGCTTGCTGGCTGTTACAGTTCACCCACATTGGGTCATGTTGTTGGGGTTCAGACAAGATGACAATCCACTGTGGGTGACAGTAGCCCTTGAACATCCCATCAGTTCTCAGGGTGGGCTGCTGGAGGGGGCGCATGTACCCAGAGTAAGCCAGGCTTTGTTCATACAACATGACAAGCCACCTAAGATAAGAAATGATGGTGGGTTGTCATCATGTCATGTCCTCTCTCTCTCTCGCTCTCTCATTCTCTCTCTCCTGACTCTCCCTTTTAGTTTTGCTGATGGATGCTAGCAGGTGTAGCTGCTAGCAGATTTAGACTCCAAGCCTTAAACCTGACCCATGCTGTAAATAAAGGAAACATAAGGTAAAGATTACTCTTATTTGAAATGTCCAGGAACCATGTGAAGGTGCATGGACAGAAGAGTGTTTATCTAATTTCATTTTCATCTCTGCTCATGATACTATGAAACAGAATTCTGTCACTATCGTTTTTGGCAGAAACGTTCTGCTTTTTAAAAGAAAAAAAAATGAGTTTAAGAGGTTTTATTTTTATTTTCTGCTACTTAGGTTAAAGCAATTTCTAAATTAATGTAAAGAAAGAATGCGAGAGAGGATATAAAGTTGCTTTATCCCAGAGGCATGGAGCAGGGATCATAAAATTGCTGAGAGGAAATCCCAGGACTTTGATCTTTTTCCCACAGTTGAGTAGGAAAGTTATTCCAGGGAATAACTGGAATAACTTTCCAGGGCAGAGAACAGGCCCATCTCTTGCTCATTACAGACTGTTTGGAGAGATTCACCTGATTCTGAGGAAAAAGGCAGAGAGCAGGAATTCACTGATTCAAGGTTACCTAGTGAGGTTTCTCAAACCAAGCATGAGAATCTGCCTGCTTTGGAGGGAGCTGAAGGTTTTTCACAGTGGAAAAGGAAGCTGATGCAAGATTTGGTTTTGCATCTGGTAAGGAGGTGATGGGAGACACTCATGGCACAATCACAGGTTTCATCTTGAATTTGATAAACAGAAGGAAGAGAGGGAAAGGACCAGCTTATGACACCATGAGTTAGGTGTGCAACTCATAGTCTCACATAAGACATTTAAACCTACAGAAACATTTACAAATTTACTCCTTTGTTCACATAATTCCCTCCAAACCATTTTTAAGCAGCAAAAGGGACACAAGAGGGAAAATACCGCAGTAACAACCATCCTTTAGCCCCAGGCTGAGAAACATGTACAGTCAATGCCTGAGCCTGCTGTTTAAATTCAGGTCATGCTGCACAACTGTTGTCTTTATCATAATTTAATGGTTATGAAAGGTGTAAGGTCCTTGTGCACGTGATCGGTCATTCTTTCTGCAGTTCACATTGCAGGCACTCGTATGTTTGGGTCCGATCTGCAAGCACTTCTCTGTTTGGGGAGGGTTGTTGTGTTTCTTTGTGACAAAAGGGTTCCATCCAGGAACTGTGTCTGTGTGTGCTTTTCTAGCTCCACTCTGGAAAAATACTAACCAGATATAGACTTGGTGAACATGCAGGCATGAGTTGGAATTCACTCTGCCTTGAATGAAATCCTATCAGTAAGTACACAGAGACCACTGTGTTTATGGCAGCGGTTGATGCCGAATGTGATAAATCTTTTAAAACCATTTCAAAGATAGAAATCGAGGAGAAGGAGAGGGGATTTTCCAATTGGAAAATTACTGTAAAGTGTTTTCTTGAAGCAGACACTGCCTGAAGTTCATTACCAGTATCTGAACACTTAAACACTAACAATCCAGAGGTAAGCTACCAAATGGTCCCAATTAATTCTGTCTGAAAGGCACTTCTGCCAGGGCTTAGAAAGACAGTGCAAATGAAACAGTCATCTGTGGAACTGGTGAGTACCTTGGGGCAGCAACCTCCGCAGCAGATTGTCAAATATATCCAGTGTTTTCCCCCTTACAAAATGGCTGCTCAGAAAATGGGTCGATTTGCCTGGTGATGCTCCATCACCGTCCAGAAGCCTCCCTCGGGAGACACAGTTTGTGAGGCATTCATCCTTTAGATCTTCTCCAACTGAGCACCTTCTGCTTGTGGGGCTGAGAATTATAGGACATTTTTCTGTCTAAGCTTAGTATTGTGCCCTTTGATCATACCTGATAAACTGAAATTATAAAAAAGTTTGAAATATTTTCAAGAAAATGTAGGGAGTTTGTGGATGCTTGTTGGGCAGTGCCAGTAATGCACTTGTGGTTTTATTGAAAATCATCACCCTTGATATTTAGAGGGTTTCCCACCTTAAAATGTAAGAATTGAGTGACTCTGCCATATTTACAGACTGTCCATACCATTTTCGGATATTCCTGCACCACCGGTCGGTGAATGTCTGTCTTGCTGTACAGCCGATAAGGTATATTGTCCATCTACTGCTGAACTTGCCTTCTGGTCTGTGTTGGCTGGAGAAGAAAGATGGAGTTTCAAGACCCCTGTCCTAGAAAATACAGATAAGCCAACAGAATAAATAAAATTGAGAGTAAATAAATAAAATTTACTCTTACATCTAAAAAATATTTTAAATAAAATTAAATTAAATTAAACCGGAGGTTTTTAAATAAATTTTATATTGTTACTTATTTATGTATTTTGTTTCTGTTGTGAGCTGCCTCGAGGCTTCGTTGCGATGGGGGAAGCATAAAAATGTTTTAAATAAATAAATAAAATAAAAATAAATGAGTTGGGGGTCAGTATAAAACAGGGCTGGGCAATGTAAGGCCTACAGGCTGTATGCAGCCCCTCTTCTGGGTCTTACTTTATTTAAAAGAAAATCCACTAGGAAAAACCCACATTTGCTGTGGGAATTTGATGGCCTATTACTATGGAGGCTCAAATCAGACCAATTTAGCCTTTGTTTTTTTAATTCCTTCCCTTTCCACAATGTTGATCCCGGATAGCCCACCAAGCCACCATGATGTAATAATTACCTTCTCTTGTTGTTCAACAATTTGTTTGTCTACTCTTTATATCGAAGTGAACAGACTAGCAATTCAGAAATGCAATCCAACAAATGTCAACCTGTGTGTGTTGGCAAACCAACATTGTTGTTTACTTAACTTGACTTAAAGGAGGATAACGTTTCATTTTTCAAACTATGTATTTTCTATTTACCTAACAAAGTAAGAAGTTACATTCTCAGGTTCTAGCAAATCAAATACTAAATACTAATATCACATGATAAAATCTAGGCAGCTTGAGTCCACCTTTTAAAATAACTAGGTTGAGCAGGCCCACTCAGGCTCACCTTGAAATGCGTAATGACCTGAGAACCAGGGGCCCAATTTTATTATTTCTTATTGTCAGCTCTAGTACAGGGACTGGAGACGAATGCTAACAATTCAAGAGAGCACCTAGGATACCCTTAAGAGAGCCAGGCCCCATGAGGACCCCCACCCCAACCTCAGTAGTTATTGGCATATGGTTTTTGATGCCTTTTCTTATATTTATATTTAACAACAGCCCCTCACAGTAGAACTTATGCTTTCTTGATCAAGAGAAAGAGAGTGAATTGCATTACACAAAGGAGTACGTATGAATTGCTCCAAAGGCATGGTAAGATGCCCACTCGGAAACCACACATTCAGGTGTGCAACCTTCTCAGACAAGCATTGCCTGCATTGCCATCAAATGCGCAAAAACTAGTGTCTCCCACCCCACAAAGGACATTTTTCTGAGTTCAATGTCTGAATCAAGCCATTGTAAAGGACCTGGCCTACCATGTCTTGGCATACTCCAGATCTGGCAATGGGTGGGTGAGGGGCATCTTTCCACCTCCAAACTCCCACTCTATATGTGTGTGTGTTGTGGGGGGGGGGGATTGTTTGCTCTTAACAAACAGCCTTAGCTTTCTGCTCTTCATGAGAAATTGTCCAAGGTGAAAACACCAAAGATCCCCTTGAAACTGCTCCCCTTTGCAAATCTGGGCTAGGCTCTTTTTTTCATTAGTATTCATAAAACATCTGATAAATGCTGAAGAAGCGTGAATAAGCAGCATGTTTATATGGAGCAAAGATCTGAGAGAAGGGCGCTCCGAGGAAGCCTGGGAAGTGTGTGTGTGCCATCCAGCGCAGCAAGGTTTCCATAGAGACAGTCAAGCAGGCCACACTAATTTTAAGGCTTTTGTGTTGAAGATAATGACAAGCTTGAAAGAGGTAAAATCTGGAAGCAGGGAGACTGCATAAGTGCTGGGGCTCAAAGTAGTGTCTGTGACTAACTGACTTTTAATTAAGCCCATTCTCACTATCAGTGAAATGTTTAACAAATCAAGGCAGCTGCCTCATAAGCAAAAATTGGAACTGGCTTGAATTGTTAGTCTGACTGGTCAGAAAAAATATGTTACTCTGCATGCATATGTGTTTACAGAGGGTTGGCCTTGAGGCCACCACTGCAACTCTGCTTCCAGCACCTATTAATCAGAGTGAGGCGAACTCTCAATACAACCGTTCAGTTTTTTATTATTGTCAACACACCCTGCTTACAGACCTAGAAGATATCTGGCTCCGTATGCTCAGAGACACAGGACTGAACCAGATGAGTCTTTGGTTTGATCTACTCAAGGATAGGTCATAAATAAAGCCGCAACTAATCTGAATTTAATTTTGCAACTAATCTGAATTTAATTTCAGTGATGCTCCAATGATAATTTTTCCCAACAGTCACATCTAAGAATATCTGTTCAGCCCTTTTCTAAACAGAAAACTGCTATAGTAAGCAATTACTCATTAACTAGTTCTGCTTAACCCTGGCCAGTTTCAAAAATTTTCTAAGTTCATTTCATAATGAAGCTTGACGGGTGCTTGTGTGTGGTCTTCCGAGTTTTCTTCCTTTCCCAAAGACCTTTCATACAAGAGAGAGTGGATGAATGTGCCTTCTACAGATCAGCCACAACTGGTGGAAACATTCCTCAAGGAGGATTACTGGATGACTCATTCCATCCCCTCAACATCACATTAATGTTGCACCCTTGTGATTTCCTTAGGTCATTGCTTTCCACTTTCCAACTCTAGAAGCAGTCATTTAAGAGAGAGAGACTAACATGGGATTATTTTAGCAGCAAATCAAATGCAGACCTCTTGGGCCTAATGGGTTTATTTAAACTGACTGGACCTGTTGGAATTATATTGACTGCTACAGTAATAACACTCTGAGGCATAGCTTGTGCTTTTTAAAAGCGTTTATCTTGAACAGAATTGACCTTACTGATTTCAGCTTTCTGCTGTAACAGAATAATTTTTATATAATCTACAGAGGCCTCTAGCATGCACATATGCCACAAGGTATGATCCCCATCCATGGATTATCATGTTGCACACAACTCACAGTACAATCCCATGCCTCCTAAAAGTAAGGCCCAATGAGTTCAGTGAGCCTTACAGCCAAGTAAATAGGCTTAGTATTGGAGCCTTAATATCCTATTCTTTCAAAGGTTCTCATCTGAAAAAAAGCATTAAAAAAAAACCAAAGATGACAATTTCTCTCTTCTTATATTAGCATTCTAAACGAGACTCTAGTGGAGGAGACACATTTTCTCATTGTTATTAATTTTAGTTCTATATTGCTCTATAGCCAAAGCTATGATACTACATTACAGATGCACCCAGTTTCCCAGTTCAGAAAGTCCGAGTTAAGAACATCTCTACTTACGAAGAAGCAAACCCAGAAGTCCCGCCTCATCTTTAATGCACCAGGCAGCAAGGAGAGGAAGGAAAAAGGAAGGAAGAGAAGAATGGAATGGAATGGAGGAAGGGAAAGGGGAGGATGAGGGAAAAAGCAGAACTAGAACAGCAAAGTCAGAACTAGAAAGCAACTCCATGCTCCAGCAGCACAATGAAGTTCTGATTCTCCAGCACCAGGTCCATCCTATCCAACCCAGTTCCAACTCCATTATCATCCAGTTAAGGTTAGGTTTAATGTTAGCTCAAGAAGTGTTAACCTTTAATAATCGTTTTACTCTTTTTTTAAATCTTTCTATCTAAACTGTTTTAAGAATTGTACTGTATTTACAAACATGCATAAAGCTTCTCTCTCTTCAGTACCCATAGTTACTTTGTTATTCCTGAATTATTATCATTATTTAAATGTTGTATCGTGTTTAACATATTTAACTGTATATGTACATGTTTCTTAAGTGCTTTATATGCTCTTTATGTATGTGATCTAACTTATATGCAAATTCAAATTAAAGATGATCTCAGGAATGGAACTTGTTCTGGATGTCCTAATGATCAACATTAGCCAAACAATATTGAGGATTATTCAGGACTTGGGGTCAAACTAGACATGATATTAAGGCATGGAATTAACAGGTACTTGTAAGAAGCTCTGTGTGGGGACAGAAGAGCAGGATGAGGGCCATGGTAGTTTGGGAAAAGTAATTTAATCTTTCTCTTCCACTGCAGCACAGACACCCCCCTGCCATTCGCATCAAGTTAGCTTCCATCAGCATCTTTGGGAAGCAGGGGAGGAGGGCAATTTTTGTCAGGGAAATAGGATTAAATACCTTCCCATACCCCATGGTCTCAAATTTTACTCATTCATTTTGTAATGGCCATTGGCTACAAACACTAAATTTGCCTAACTGACAGACTGTCCATCATAGCAGGGTCAAACAAAACTGGAGAACACCCAATGGGATAAAATAAAAGTTGAAAAAGTATGTGGTTTTATTCCAAGGAGTCCTCTTTTTTCCCAGAGATCTCTGCAGGCATATCTAGAAATACTGAGGAAGACCCGTACATAATTGTTGTTAGTCACAAAGTTGTGTCCGACCCATCACGACCCCATGGACAACATTCCTCCAGGCCTTCCTGTCCTCCACCATCCCCCAGAGTCCACTTAAGCTCACACCGACTGCTTCAGTGACTCCATCTAGCCACCTCATCCTCTGCCGTCCCCTTCTATTCAGGGCCAAAACATGTATGTCTACTCACTGGTATAAAGCAACTATTTTTTGCCAATGTCCTGAGCCTTTGTCTCTCAATTCCAATACCTTTACTGGCAGGCATTTATACTGGGGAATCTACACTAAGCATTTTTACTGGCACAGTGATACCTAGCAGATCCCCTCATTGTTCTTCATCAGCACATTAACTGCTTGCAATTCACGTTGAGGTGTAGCCTGGCCCTCTTAATCAGACTCCAACAGCTCACGCATGCTTTAGGACACAACCCTATGCATGTTTAGACAGAAAAAAGTTAGAAAAAAGCATGGCTGGATGGGGCCTGTAGGACATTTTTTCTGTCTAAAGAAGCACAGCATTGTACCCTTAATGATGACAAGACTCTTTTCTAGTCCCAGAGGACCAGCCTAAATGAACTCATACCCCCAAAGCTCCCTCCTCCCTTGCCATTATCCTTCCCTCCTGACAGGCCTTTGCAGACACAAGCTGCTAGGAAAGCATGTGCTGAAGGCAGATGATGCTGACCTGGGACTGGTCA